CAGGCTTACCAAGGTTTAAGTAATAGAAGGGGTAGTGTGCCAGGTGCGTCGAGTACTCGGGCAGAACCAGCAGCCCTCCTGGTAAGGCATTCCACATGAATTTATTTCTGGAGATGTGCGAGTACACTCTGTCCTTTATGATCTGACAGACATCAAGACGGTAGCATTCAATATAACAATCAATCACATCAAATCAAACACACATTGAATCCCTATCAGTTTTAAAGATGATCAGTTTCACCTGCTGGCCAGCAGGGGGCAAACCAAAGCCATACTTTTGTGCAAAATTGACATTCCATTTGCCAATTAACCTAAGGGCAGGGGACTAAGTATGTGCTAATTATGTATGGCATCCTTCACTGGTTTAATTTCCCCTGACAGACCTTCCTCTCTGTCAGACACGCCGCTGTATAAGCTACACATCTAAGCTGACCCAGCTCTCACCTCCAGTGTGGTGAGTACAATCTTATCCACGGAGGAGAAGTAGGCCTCCCAGAGCATCTGTGTAAGCTGTCTGAGAGCCAGCACCCTGTCAATGCCCACAGCCCGCACCGTAGAAGGTACCTGGGGGAACAAAGTGGCAAAGAATTCACCGGTGAGGTTAATTGGTGTTCCTATAAAAACCTTAGTATCGGGGTTCTACCTGTCACCTCCAGAAACTCTTCAAGACAAAAATATGCAGCACTGACAAAAGTGTTTTGCAGTGAAATGCTACAGTGCCCACCTTATTTTTCAACGTGGAAGTAAACTATTTTCTGTGAATGAGACTTCCGATTCATTTGTAAATAACTAACAAAGGGCGAATGACAGTGCAGTAAACGGTAAAAAGTAGTTGCGCTACAGACCAGTGTGTTTAGAATTTCGACAGTGCATTAAAATAATTTATACTACGGGGCCGTTGAATGCTTGAACGTTCTGAGGTGTGCAATTATTTTCAGGGAAACGCACGGCGAACGTAGTTCCAGGCAGCTCTCTTGACCGCATTACACTTCGCATAGTTAACTAATAACGGAAATTAGCATACAGTACCTATACAGCACACAGGAATTACTGCAATCACACGTGCTCGCACACGCACACTACGGTCACGCAGTTTGCACAAAAAGGTGTTGTCAGCACTGCCCTGACGATTTTATCAGTTAGCCTATATAGTGTAGGCCTAGCAACTTAAAGGCTACACATGACATTTCTCACTAGCGAGGTAATAACAGCGCTGTTAATTTCTACATATAATAATACATTTGTAACATTTCAAGTTACAAATGAGTAAAAAATATAAATTAATGTTAGCTACCATTAATATTTTTTTTGAAGTCTCACCTAGGCTGCATTTATCTGATATACAGTAAAAACAGTAATATTCAGAAATGTTATTACCATTTTTTTTAAATTTATGAATATCTTTAAATTGTGATTTATTCTTGTAATGGCGAAGCTGAATTTTCAGCAGCCGTTACTCCAGTCTTCAGTGTTACATGATCTTTCAGAAATCATTCCAATGTGCTGATTTGGTGCTCAATAATCATTTATTTTTATTATCAACAGTTATGCTGCTTCATATTTTTGTGAAAACTGTGTTACATTTTTTTTCTGGATTCTTTGATGTTCAAAGAAACAGCATATATATAAACATTAACCAAGATTAACGAATGCTCTAAAATGTCCGTTGTTGGTTCATGACACCTAATACTTTAAAGGGGTCATATGATGCTTTTTTAAATATCATTATTTTGTGTATTTGGTCTAACAGAATATGTCGACATGCTTTAATGTTCAAAAAACACATTATTTTTCAAATACTGTACATTATTGTAGGTCCTCTATGCCCCGCCTCTGTCAAACGCTTCGTTTTCTACAAAGTCCCTCCTTCCGACAAGCGCAGTCTGCTCTGATTGGCCAGCTGACCCAGTGCATTGCGATTGGCCGAACACCGCAAGCACTCGTTGGAAATGTAACGCCCCTTACCATAATCATGAGCTTCATCTTTCAAAATAAATGTAAAGACAGAGCCCGAAAGGGGAACAGAGTCGTGTGACAGACATAGTGATGAAGCTGGTATGTGTTTGCAGTACACAAGCCACGGCAGGAATAGGTAAACTGCAATGGTGAAAGTCACAAAATCTAAGAACGCACACTTTCCCTCATACATTCATGTGAAATCTTCATGATAAAAAAGTGCTTGTGCATATGTTTTTTCAACTACCAACGTATATTTTAATTAGTGGCGTCTTCCATCCTTATGTTCCCTTCTCAGGAAAATGACATTCGAGTACTTCACAGGAAGGGTTGTTACCTGTAGTAACAGTCTCTCGTCGCCCTCGATGACTGCTTGGTTCCACTGGATGACATCAGAGAAGGGTAACTCCCAGCCATTACTGAGTAACACCGGGATACAAGCGGCCTGTGAGGGATACAACCACAAGAGACAGACAGTGGCTTAGACTATAATTAACATCAGCACAATCAATTCATAGAATGAAAAATAAACACACACACACAAGAAAACAGACCAAGTTCACTCCAAATGCACAGAAATATAGACATAGTGCATCTGATTTTTCCCTTTAGGCAAGGTTATGAGATATATAGCGTGTGATGAAAAGGCTGTTTGGATGTTTAAGAAGTCTCAGAGGGGCCTGTGCATGACTCATTGCTCCCATCCAGCATTTTTATCAAACACACCGCCAGACAGATGTGTTAATTACCCCATCTCCCTCGCCCCGAATAGGAGGGTGAGGTAGGAGAGGAACAGGGGTCCATGATTTATTGAAGTGGAGTTGCTCGCCTTCCCTCTTGTTTACTATTCCATCTTGATGTTGCTTTACTTTTCCTCCCAGATTCGTTGTTTGCCTTTTTTCTTCTTCTTTTCGTCATTCAGCTCGTATTCTGGTCTACAGTGAGATTTTTAATGAAATCACAAGAGAGTGCAATCCTAAGAACGGGCCAAGATCAAACACACCCCCTCTAGCTGTGTGCAGCCATGCTTTCATCCTAAACAGCGTTAGAGGACACATGGGCGGACAGCAATAAATTGCTTCTGGTGACTGATTGCTACCTTGGCCTACTAAGCCCACAGAGACCCAGGAGCTGGCCTTTGTTTCATGCTCTGGGATGATAGCTCTTGGGCCGCCCGACTAGCACAGATCCCTCTTGGCACTGATCTATTCCGTGGTTGCTTGCACAGCCATTTTTCTGCAAGGAGTGTGTCGAGGAATCAGCACCACAGAGTGGTTGCAAGATTAGAGAGAAAGAAAGCAGGATCTGGATGATAGGGGTCGGAGGATGTTCTTGAGCAGTGGTTCTCATGCTGTGGTGTGTGGACTTTTGCAGTACTAATTTACAGTACTAAAATTTTTTATTTAAATCGCTGTAGTTATGATCCATATACATTTATAAAACAAATTGTACTGACATTAATTGGATGAGTAACATTTGAAGCCACAGTAAAATTCACACCTGTGACAACATATTGTTTTTAATTATTTTTTTTTCATTTTATTTTAAATTTTATTTTAATTGCCATGTTGAAACCATTAACAGTTTACAATTAGGATGATGAACTATATTACTTTGTATTTATTCTGATAATTATAAATAATTTATTTCATTTATTATTAAACACACCTGTAACTATATTTTATTTTATTTTACAATTTAATTCGATTTTAATTGCCAAGTTGTTTGGAAACCATAAATTACCTACAATTAGAATAATTAACTATATTAATTGGTGTTCAATCTGATCAATATTAATAATAAATGTAACTTAACACACCTGTGACTACATTTTATTATTTATTTTATTTTATTTTTTTAATAGTTTATTTGTATTTTAATTGCCACGTTACTTGGAAACCTTAAGTAGCCTACAATTAGGATAATTAACTATATTAATTTGTGTTTATTTTGGTAACTATTAATAAAAAATGTAATAATAAATAATCTCATTATTAAAAACACCATTTAATTTTAACATATTATTTTTATTTTATTTCTATTTTAAGACTATCGATAATGTATGCTAGAAAAATTCCAAGCACAAGACAGACTAGACAGCATTCCAAAAAATGCAGTATATATAATATTAATGTTTTGAAATGGACTGAAAAGTTTGCATATCAGCGTGTGAATTTGCAATGAAATACTTTCTAAATTATTTTTTTTTAGATGCTGTTCTATAGCATCTCTCCACAAATCTGCAAAAGGGCCAGTCAAGGGATTGATGAGACAGCAGCATGATTTATCTTAATTACAAGGATATGGATATTAATCAAAAGATGGTATTATGTCACTCACACAGTCCGTAGGCTTAAGCCCAGAGATGTCAATGTACCCACTGCTGAAAAAATGAAAAGGAACATTGTGACTAGATGCAGGAGTGTAACAGGGCCGTAATGGTCCGCCACCTTTGATTGGAAAATGTTTAGTGTCGGCCACCTCTGAAATCCCAATTTTACCCCCGGCTAGGTGCTACTTGGCCTGAAATGTTTGAGAACCTCTGTTCTAGAATTTTCAGCAGTACTAGTAATTGCCAGTTCTTTCTGTGGCTTTGGCTGCCTCCAAAGAAAAGATATCTATGGAACTCAGACAGGGGCTTATATGGAAAAGCACAGAGGGAGAAAAAGACAGAGGAGTAGAGTGAGGGAGTGCCGAGGAATCAGTGTGAGGGCCGAGCTGGCTGCCAAACCCACAGTTCTGTGGATTTATCCATTCAGCACAGCTCGGCAGAGTCGAAGCGAGGGCACCCTCGTGAGCTTCCGGCCCTTTCACACACACCACCAGGACGCCAAGAATATATGCGCCTGGGAAGTTTTTCCACTCGGCGGCTAATGTGCTGTTTATCTGCGAGACTCCGAAACCTGACTGTTTTCATAAACTGCCAAACCTGTCTTGCATCTCTAAAAGGCTTGTTGAAGCATACTTGGTTGTATTCAGTTTTCAGGTCAATTCATAGTTTTCAGTCATGTGACTGACTCGAAGAGCCGGCGGGCAAAACATCCATAGAACTGCAGCACAAGCCTGTACATTTTCTATCTGTTCCAATCCAAAAATATTTAGATCACCTCTCAAAAGAATAAAACAAAGTGAACAAAATGCAAGTTTTGGCCATTTGCAATCCATATAAAGCACCCGTCGCAATATCTCAATCACTAAAAACAGTGGTACATTCTAAAACATTTAATGTGAAAACACTTAAAGTGCCTTTAAAACAGTGATGTTAAAAGATCAAGTTCAGTACACACCTTATTGATGATGCATGCATTATGCATGCAAGCAAATGAGCCCGGAATATGATCGCAGTGCGCTAAATGGTTAAGCGTTTTCTTTATAATGGTTTTCTATGGGAAAACATTTAATATTAAACCTTGCGCATTGCATTTATATTCTGGGTTCATCTGGTTGCCTGTACAAAGTATGCATAATCAATAAGGTGTATACTGAATTTGGCCTTTAAATATCACTTACTACTTAATGTAAACCTCATAAAAATAACTGGCGGTCAGTGGAGGAAAGCCTTGTTTTGCCCTCCATGTGGGCGTTCCTGTAAGGGTGTGACGTCACGTGAAAACTATGAATTGAAAAATGTTTTACCTGCAAAGACTCCAGGAAACGGAATGACCCCAAGCGCCGACCGCGGGGAACAAGACAGAAGGTGGAGTTGTGGAGCAGCTCTTGATAGTCAAATCTATGAAGGAAAATGGAAATAAATAAAATTAGGTAAAAAAATGGCAACCGCAGAGTCATGACCTATTGCTCAGGATTTACTACAGAACACAGATTTTACATGAACTGATCCAAAAAGTAACAAAGTAGAGATACACTACCGTTCAGAAGTTTAGGGTTGGTGAGTTTTTTTTTATTTATTTTTTTTATGTTTTAGAAGTATTTTATGCTCACCAAGGCTGCATTTATTTGATCAAAAATACAGTAAAAACATTAATGGAATATTGAAATATTATTCCAATTTAAAACATTAAAAAAAAAAAAAATTTGAAGAAACATTTTGCTTATATTTGTGTAAACCAAGGTAAATCTTTTTCAGGATTCTTTGATATAAAATATAAAGTTTAAAAGAACAGCATTTATTTGAAATAGAAATCTTTTGTAACAAACCTAATCTTTACTGTCACTTTTGATCAATTTAATGCATCCCTGATTATTAAAAATTATTACAGACCCCAAACTTTTAATGATACTTAAAGGCAGTTAGTAAATATGCTCTATTGATCTGTGGTGGTCATATAAGTTTGAACCTGACTTTTTTTTCCTAATCTAGTTCCTACATCATTTCCTGTTTCTTTTCTCTCTGTGCTATCAATAAAGTGTCAAAGAAGCCGAAAGTAAAATGAAAAAACACCAACATTAAGGAAACCCATTACCCAGTACAAAGAACAACCGTTCAAATGCTGTTTAAAGAGAGGCTTTTTGAGAGCCACACTGGCACTACTCAAAATGCAGCCATGATAGAAGGGTGTTTTGATCCAAGCAGCAAGCCCATCGTCTTTGCCTCAAGCTGTTGTCCCTGGCAACCATTTATGGTTTCTTAGAATACGCTGAATCCAGAAGCTTTGTGTGATTGCCACCGCTGGATGATAAGTGAGGGTGAAGGTGGGAAAAAACTGCAGTTGACCCAAAGTGTTAATGAGAATGGAAACTGGGTATTGTACTACAGATCTGATCCCAGATAGATGTTCTGTCAGCACAGCAAGTGCTGAGCTGCATCTGCCCTGAACAAAAAACATTTTATTGATGCGGCCTGGCATATTCAATATTAAAGGGGTCATATGATGCGATTTCAAATTTTCCTTTCTCTTTGGAGTGTTACAAGCTCTTGGTGCATAAAGAAGATCTGTAAAATTGCAAAGACTAAAGTCTCAAATCCAAAGAGATATTCTTTATAAAAGTTAAGAGTCAGCCACGCCTACCTAAAACGGCTCGTTCTAACACGCCCCCACATATCTACGTCGCTATGTGGGAAGATTTGCATAACACCACCCAAATGTTCATGCAAAGAAAGAAGGCGTAACTTTTATTCTCGCTGTAGTATTGTTGTTGCCGCCGCCGCCATGTCGTGAAGGGGCTGTGTGATTCGTTGTCAAAACGAAACTACTTTGTTTGGCCTTCCAAAAGAGGACGATATCGCTTCGCCATGCCTGGAG